TGACTCTGATAATCACTTGGCAATTTCATTTTTAGCAGGTTTTGAACCCACATAGACAGATTTAGATTCTGTTGTATCAACTGCTTGGCTAAGACCAGTTATATGTGCTCCCAATGAACTCATTCAGAAGCGACTTACATACTTTTGTGAGCAAATATTCAAGGCATGTTCTGATAGGAAAAATGTGACATTCAATGGGTTTCAAACCTAAGTGCGTGAATTCACTGGATGCTGAGCTTTCATATTCTTGTACTTACATCAAGAAATGTCAGGGTGTAATTGCATAGAATAAAAATATTACCATTGGCAGGTTTGAAACCTGCAAAGTACAAGAGAAACAGATTTTTACTCTGATGATAACTTGACTTGACTAAGGCTAATGAAGATCTATGTCTGAGACACTGTCTATGAGCAAATATTCAAGGCCTGCTCTTATGGAAAAAATGTGACACTCAACAGGTTTGAAACCTGTTGCACTCCAATAGAAACAGATTTTGATTCTGTCAGAACAACGACTTGCCTAAAACACAACTCTGATGAGCTTGTGTCAAGGTGCGGTTTTATAAAAAATGAAGTTTATCATTGGCAGGTTTCAAACCTGCACATTCTAAGAGAAACAAATTTTGACTCTGATAATCACTAGAAATTTCATCTTTAGCAGGTTTTGAACCCACACACACAGATTTGAAACAGATTTGGATTCTGTTGTAGCAACTGTTTGACTAGCACCAGTTAGATCCATCTTTAAAGAAAACATTCAGAAGTGAATCTGCAAGGCAAGTCTACCGTTCCCTGTCACTCGCAATGTTTTCCCTCAGCTGAACAGATGAATTAAATACAGACTGCAATACAGCACTTTCAAAAAGCAAGAGGAGAGTAACATGATGATGAAAGGTCTCAAATACAGTGCACTTCAACCTTATACATAAGTGAATAATGACTGGATGGCTCTTTTGAATCTCAGTCTTGACAGATGTGTATTCTTCCTCATTCCCCAGGTCATTAGGATCAAACTTGAAAGTTTGATGTGTAATCTACTCTTCTTCTTCTTCAACCAAGTCAAGACCTTTGGAGAGAATAAAATTGCTCTTGTACTTATCATCCCAAGTTTGCATCAAGACTTTGGTCATATATTGAACTTTGCGTCAAAGATACTTGCATTTGCCTCTGGTGATTTTTTAGAGGGAAAAAGCAGAATAAAAGAATCAACAGTGATCATGCTATTGAAAGAACTGACAAAATACAGATAAAATGTGCCTTGATAATTCACTTCTGAATGAGATTCATTGGAAGTGAATCTCACTGGTCTTAGCCAAGCAGTTGATACAACAGAATCTAAATCTGTATGTGTGGGTTCAAAACCTACTAAAGATCAAATTGCCAAGTGATTATCAGAGTCAAAATCTGTTTGTCCTGGACTGTGTGGGTTTAAAACCTGCCAATGATAAGATTCATTTTCTATGAAAATGCACCTTGACACATGCTCATGGTCGATTTGCTTAAACGCTCATCAAAGTTGTGTTTAGCCAAGCGGTTGTCATAACAGAATCAAAATCTGTTTTCATTGGAATGTAACAGGTTTGAAACCTGTTGAATGTTGCATTTTTTCTATTAGAACATTCCTTGAATACTTGCTGATAGATGGTATCTCAGATACTCAATCTTTATTGGTCTTGGTCTTGGTCAAGTTATCATCAGAGTCAAAATCTGTTTTTCTTGGACTTTGTGGGATTCAAATCTGTTTCTCTTGGAATGTGTGGGTTTGAAACCTGCCAATGATAAAATATATTTTCTATGAAAACACATCTTGACAATCATCTCATGAATGATTTTCTCAAAAACTTGTCTCAACTGATGTTAGCTGTGTCATTGCTGCAATAGATTCAAAATCTGTTGAGTAATGCATTTTTTGTATTAGAACATGAACATGTCTTGAATATCTGCTCATAGACAGCATCTCAAATATTGATCTTCATTGGTCTTAGTTGAGTTGTCACCAGAGTCGAAATCTGTTTCTCTTGAACTGTGCAGGTTTGAAACCTACCAATGACAGCATTTTTATTTTTATTCTATGAAATCACACCTTCACATTTCCCACATGAATCTTAAAATGAATCAGAAGGTGTCAATTTTCTGGGTGGCATTATGACTTTCTTGCAAGAAAAATCAAAAAATGCAGCATTCAATGGCTTTCAAACTGTCAAGGCGCATTTTCATAAAATAAAAATGTTATTGTTGGCAGGTTTCAAACCTGCGCAGTCCAAGTGAAACAGATTTTGACTCTGATGATCACTTGCAATATTATCTTTAGCAGGTTTTGAACCCACACAAATAGATTTAGATTCTGTTTTATTGACTGCTCAGCTAAGACCAGTTGGATGCACTGCCAATGAATTCATTCAGAAGCGAATCCTCAAGGTATATTTATCTGCATTTTGTCAGTTCTAACATTACATCATCAGCCCACCATGGTGGTCTGCCATCAGTACATTTTTGGAGCAATTGCTGGATAAATAGGCCTTGAAGTAGAGGCCCAGAAGAAGTCGGATGTCTTTTGTGATAAGAGTAGAATTAAAAAAATCAATTGCGGTGACCGTATTATTAAAAGAACTGACATAATGCAGATAAATATGCCTTGAGGATTCACTTATGAATGGGTCCATTGGGAGTGCATCTAACTGGTCTTAGCCGAGCAGTTAATACAACAGAATCTAAATATGTCTGCGTGGGTTCAAAACCTGCTAAAGATGTCATTGTCAAGTGATCACCAGAGTCAAAATCTGTTTCTCTTGGACCATGCAGGTTTCAAACCTGCCAGTTGTGACATTTTTTTATATGAAATCACACCTTGAAATATGCTGATGGTCAGTTTGCTTGCAAGCTGATCAAAGTTGTATTTGGCCGAGTGGTTGTCATAACAGAATCAAAATCTGTTTCTATTGGAATGCAACAGATTTGAAACCCATTGAATGTCACATTTTTTCTATGAGAACATGTCTTGAACATTTTCTCATAGACAGTATCTCAGACATCAATCTTCATTAGTCTTAGTCAAGTTGTCACCAGAGTTAAGATCTGTGTTTCTTGGACTTTGCAGATTTGAAACCTGCCAATGATTATATTTTTATTCTATGCAATTACACTCTGATATTTTCTCATGGATAGTTTTCTCCAAAACCCATCATAAATACTCTTTTCCATATCATTGCCACCATAGATTCAAAATATGTTTCAATCAAAGCCTACAGATTTGCAAACAGTCAAATGATGCATTTCTTTTTCATGCTGCAACATGCTCAATTGAATATTTGCTCATGGACAGTTTCTCAGACTTTGATTAAAAAACCTAACAACACTATTTTGATTCACAACCAAAGTCTTGATGCAAACTTGGAGGGATAAGGAAAAGAACAATCCAATTCTTTCTAAAGGTCTTGACTTGGTCGAAGAAAAAGAAGAGCAGGATACACATCAAACCTTCAAGTTTGATGCTAATGACCCGGGGAAGAAGAAAAAATACAAATTTATCAAGGCTGAGATTCTTTATTGTACTTATTCAAGTGGTTGTCAGAGTCAAAATATATTTCTCTTAAACTAAGCAGGTCTGTAATCTGTATAATGATGTGTATTGAAAGAACTGACAAAATGCAAATAAATATGCCATGAGAATTCACTTTTGAACGAGTTCATTGGAAGTACATTCAACTAGTCTTAGCCAAGCAGTTAATAGAACAGAATCTAAATCTGTCTGCATGGGTTCAAAACCTGCTAAAGATGAAATTGCAAGTGATCACCAGACTCAAAATCATGTTTCTCTTGAACCATAACAGGTTTGAAACCTGTCAATGATAAATTCTTTTTTTCTATAAAAATATGTCTTGACATTTTCTCATGGAGTTTGAAATCTGTTGAATGGTGCATTTTTGCTATTAGAACATGTCTTAAATATCTGCTCATGGACAGCATCTCAGACATTGATCTTGATAAGGAAATGACAATGTGTGATTTCATAGAACAAAAATGTTGTTAGTGGCAGGTTTCAAACCTGCACACTTCAAGAGAAACAGATTTTGAATCTGGCGACAACTTGACCAAGATCAATGAAGATCAATGTCTGAGATACCGTCTACGAGCAAACATTTAAGATATGTTCTTACAGGAAAAATGTGACATCCCACAAGTTTCAAACTTGTTGCACTCCAATGGAAACAGATTTTGATTCTGTGATCACAGCCACTTGGCTAAACACAACCATGATCAGCTTGCAAGCAAACTGACTATGAGCAAATTTTAAGATGTGCTTTCATAGAAAATGAATTGTATCACTGGCAGGTTTCAAACACCTGCATAGTCCAAGAGAAACAGATTTTGACTCTGGTGATCACTTGGCAAATTCATCTTCAGCAGGTTTTGAACCTGCACAGACAGATTTGGATTCTGTTGCATTAACTGCTTGGCTAAGACCAGGTAGATGCACTCCCAATAAATACATTCAGAAGTGAATCCTCGAGGCACATTTATCTGTATTTTGTCAGTTCTTTTACAGCTGTTTGCAAAAAGGTTGACAGTATCGACATTTTGAGAAAGAACAAAACAAATAAATAATAGCCACGTACATAGGGTCAAATAACACGCGCGTCGCGCATATACTTGCAAACGCTTGACGCACGCATATACTCACAACAATGGACTCGATATTCACGAACAGCTTCTCTAGTGATGGTGAACTATCAATGGCAGAAGATGACGACATGTTGCAGTCTTCCTCCATGGACTCTGGGAAGCAAACTGTTGTTGCAGACGAAAACCCTGACGGGTCAGAACCAGTGGACGTACTCGACAAACGTGGACCTGGCCGCCCACGAAAACAAAAAGAAGGTATGCCATGTTCACCACAGGCTTAGGGTGTCAGGACTGTCATGAATATCCTTCGCTTAGCTCCTCCTGCACCTCAAAATGTCATGATTTCATATTCCCTCGTCATGTACTCATTTGAACAGATGAAGAAACCAAAGACGAAGAGGAGCGAAGAGACTGCGATCATCAAGCTCTACCAGGACGAACCCTTCGATACCCTCAAGGCCCAGATACTCAAGTGTATATCCGAGAGCCTGAAACCAAAGAAGCTCGATTACGACGACTACAAGATAATGTTCACCATTCTTCGTCATCAAACAGCACCACTATCCCTCAAAAAAACTGCCGAGTATGAACATCTTGTCGAGTGTGCTGTCAGAATGAAGACCCCTGCCGTGAAGCTTTTGATCGAAGCATTGAAAGACCAGACAGCAGTTCGTGTAAATATGTGCATATATGCTACTGATCTTGTGATGGTTTTGTAGTCGAAGAAACGGAAGAATGGCGATCCAGAAGGGGATGGTGCGAAGGCCAGTGACACTGGTGACACCAGCCAATCAAGTGGCTCCGACAGCGATGGCCAGAAGCGAAAGAAAAAGAAAAAGAAGGTAGCTGAATCGTGTCGTGTTTCCCGCATCATGTTTTGAAGTTATCAATACTCAATTTTTTCGAACAGAAGAAGCTGGTCAAAGAACTTCCTCTCAACATCGAGCTCTCTGCCCAGATCAAACTTTTGCAAAATCGCTATACCTGCAACAAGCCTGGCTGTCTCACGTCTGGTTATTGTTATATCCTACCAGATAACAATGCTCATTTCACGCTAAGCCATCGGCACTTGAGCGTGTGGGCCGCTGCTTTGGTAACACGAGGTAATGATGTGGAGAGTACACTCGCTGAATAGTTTGTTGTTACTAGGCTGCAAAACCACCTATCACGACACTCGACAAGCCACCGAACCATAAGGAATTCGATACATTGTCCTCTAACCTCTTGTCGAACTCTGCACCCTTGATCCAGCGACGCCTTGCGGAACGGAACACTGCTCAATCTACTCCAGACCCATCCACATTGACTGTTCCGACAATCAATTTCAACCTTCCTAACGACATTTTTTCATTCTTACGGCCTGCATCAGCACCCTTGCCAACCACTCCTGGTCGAACCAATGCTCTCGTCAATAGTGCTGATATGCCTGTTCTTCCTGTCTCTGCTTGGCCTGGCCCTGACTTGTCTCTTGCGAACTTTTGTGCTGTGTATGACCTATCTCCGGACATCCATGCCAAGCTCACGGAAAACAGATATACAGGAACACGGACTATCAGATACATTGTCGTTTCGGAGCTGAAAGAAATGGGATTCAAGAATGGCGAGATTGCGGCAATGAAGGATGCAGTTGCACAGTGGGCTAATGGAGAGATGTGAAGCCCAGCGTGTCGAGAACCAGACCATGAATTGAGTACATAGATTTGTATTGCTGTCATACTTGTATCAAAAGTGTTCTGATTGGACTTGATGTAATTTTACTGCTCTGCTGTCACTAAAAGTATCCTGCATGAATGAAGTACCCTGCTGCATCAGACATCGTAACAATACTCATGGCTTCATACATGTCAAATATAATACTATTGGATGCAAGGAAGTAGTCCTGATAGCGACGGATGAAGGCCTTAATCTTTGAAAAAGCTTCTTCGATTGGGTTCAGATCTGGGGAGTAGGGTGGGAGATACTCAAGGCGAACACCTATCCCCAATGGTTCAAAAACTCATCTAGATCAGACACGGTGACTCACCATAAGCTTCAATCAATTCCGCAACACCCTCTCCATGATGTATTTTCGCATTGTCCATTACGAGGACGGACAAAGGTCCAGGATAAGGTGAACACATTGGCAACTAAGTTGTGTCAGCTTCGCAGTGCTTGCCAGAGTTAGAATCAGTGACATACCACCGTAGATTGAAGGAACTCGAGATATTTGACTGTGGTGAATGAGCCTTCGACAACACTCGAAGCGGCAATGCCATCTACAGTCAGAAGTCCTAGTCCAGAGACACGCTGCCCACGAACAAAGACCTGATGGCTACATGCACGCTGGCCTGTAGCTGCTCGTCCACGCAGCCGCCCTGCAGTACGCTCATCTTTGGATGTTTCGTCAAGGAAACCAAGCTGCTCTGGTGAATATTGGCTCATGCGAATGAGAAAGTTCATCCTCTTCTCCTCATTCCTCTCCTTCGCGATCCGCTTCAGTTTCTTGAGAGAAATGCCGACGCGTGTTAGTTCGCGGTGGATGGTAGTATAGTGTATAGAGATGAAGCGATTGGTATCAAGAAGTCGAAGGAGCTCATCTAAGAACCATTCGGGGCGATGGTGAACAAGACGGACGAGATATAGTACATCGTCGCAATGAAGGGTACGAGGACGACCACGAATACCAAATGTATGCCTAACAACGTCTCCAGTTTCACGCCAGAGCTTGAGGATCCGCCAGAACGTGCTTTCTGAAAATCCGACACAAGCAAGAATGTCTTCGAGTGCAAGATGTTGATGCTCGTGAAGATTGATTGCAGCTAGTTTGACGTCGCGACTGATTTTCCGATACATGATGGTCAATTTGTGATGTATGTATGTGGCTATTATTTATTTGTTTTGTTCTTTCTCAAAATGTCGCTACTGTCAACCTTTTTGCAAACAGCTGTAATATGTTTGAAACCACCAACAGTGATGTCATTTTGTTTTTATAAAAAAACACATCTTGTTATGACTCATGTCACACATGTGGCTTCCCTTTCTTGACTCATGCTTCCTGCACATTGTATTCTTACCATTGGTCCATTCCAAATTTTCTTGGTCTCATTCCCATTTCGACAATGCAACTGGTCTTAGCCAGGCAGTTGATACAACAGAATCTAAATCTGTCTGTGCAGGTTCAAAACCTGCTAAGGATGAATTTGCCAAGTGATCACCAGAGTTAAAATCTGTTTCTCTCCGACTGTGCAGGTTTGAAATCTGCCAGTGATAAAATTCATTTTCTATGAAAACACACCTTGAAATTTGCTCATGGTCAGTTTGCTTGCAAGCTGATCACAGTTGTATTTAGCTAAGTGGCTGTCATAACAGAATCAAAATCTGTTTCTATCAGAGTGCAACAGATTTAAAATCTATTTCTCTGCAGCTGTGCAGGTTTGAAACCTGCCAACAACAATATTTTTATTCTATGAAATCCAAAATGGTGGAATGTGATGAATCACGAGTCAATGCGAAAGACACATCATTATACAAATTACACACCTGCTTAGTTCAAGAGAAATATATTTTGACTCTGGCAACCACTTGTTGAATAAGCACAATAAAGAATTTCAGCCTTAATAGATAGATTTGTATTTTTCCTCATTCCCCGGGTTATTAGGATCAAACTTGAAAGTTTGATGTGTAATCTGCTCTTCTTCTTCTTCTTCTTCTTCAACCAAGTCAAGACCTTTGCAAAGAATTATATTGTTCTTATACTCATCCTTCCGAGTTTGCATCAAGACTCTGGTCATATATTGAACTCTGTGTCAAAAACACACTGTGTGATTCTTCCATTGTCAGTTTTCACTTATGGACCCACCGTGGTGGTCTGCTGTCAGCACTTTTTCAGGGCAATTGTTAGATAAACAGGTCTTGAAGTTAAAAGCCCCAGCAGGAGTCTGCATTTTTTGCAATAAGAGCAGTATAAAAGAATCAACAGTGATCATGCTATTGAAAAAACTGACAAAATGCAGATAAATGTACCTCGAGGACTCACTTCTGAATCATTGGGCTCATTGGAAGTAAATCTAACTGGTTTTAGCCAAGCAGTTGATACAACAGAATTTAAATCTGTCTGTGTGGGTTCAAAACCTACCAAAGATGAAATTGTCAAGTGATTACCAGAGTCAAAATCTGTTTCTCTTGAACAGTGTAGGTTTGAAACCTGTCTTTGATTTTTATTTTCATTCTATGAAAGCACACCTTGACATATGCTTATGGTCAGTCAGCTTGTCAGCTAATCAGAGGCAGGTTTGAGCAGGATAAAAAAGAATCATTTCTGAATGTATGTATTGGAAGTGCATCTAACTGGTCTTAGACAAGTGGTTAAATACAACAGAATCTAAATCTGTCTCTGTGGGTTCAAAACCTGCTGAAGATCAATTTACCAAGTGATCACCAGAATCAAAATCTGTTTCTCTTGGACCTGTGCAGGTTTGAAACCTGCTGGTGGTATGATTTATTTTTTATGAAAACACACCTTAAAATTTGCTCATGGTCGGTTTGCTTGCAAGCTGATCACAGTTGTGTTTGGTCAAGTGGCTGTGATCACAGAATTGAACTCTGTTTCCATTGGAGCCCAACAAGTTTGAAACTTACGCGACATCACATTTGTTCATATAAGAACATGTCTTGAATATTTGCTCATAGACAGTGTCTCAGACATTGATCTTCATTGATCTTGGTCAAGTTGTCGCCAGATTCAAAATCTGTTTCTCTTGAAGTGTGCAGGTTTGAAACCTGCCACTAACAACATTTTTGTTCTATGAAATCACACATTGACATTTCCTTATCAAGATCAATGTCTGAGATGCTGTCCATGAGCAGATATGCTTCTAATAGCAAAAATGCACCATTCAACAGATTTCAAACTCCATAAAGAAATATTATCAAGGCATATTTTTATAGAAAAAAAGAATTTATCATTGACAGGTTTCAAACCTGTCATGGTTCAGGAGAAACAGATTTTAAGTCTGGTGATCACTTGCAATTTCATCTTTAGCAGGTTTTTAACCCGCGCAGACAGATTTAGATTCTGTCATATCAACTGCTCAGCTAAGACCAGTTGGATGCACTTCCAATGAACTCATTCAAAAGTGAATCCTCAAGGCACATTTATTTGCATTTTGTCAGTTCTTTCAATACACATTATTATACAGATTACAGACCTGCTTAGTTTAAGAGAAATACATTTTAACTCTGGCAACCACTTGGGATTCACTTATGAATGAATTCATTGGCAGTGCATCCAACTGGTCTTAGCCGAGCAGTTGATACAACAGAATGTAAATCTGTTTCTGTGGGTTCAAAACCTGCTAAAAATAAAATTGAAAGTGATCATCAGAGTCAAAATCTGCTTCTCTTCAGACTGCGCAGGTTTGAAACCTGCCAATGATAACATTTATTTTATTTTATGAAAATGCACCTTGACGGTTTGGAACCCATTGAATGCTGCATTTTGTCTATTAGAAGATATCTTGAATATTGAATCATAGACAGTCTCTCAGACACTAATCTTCATTAGTCTTAGTCAAGTTGCCATCCAGCCATTATTCACTTATGTATGAGGTTGAAGTGCACTGTATTTGAGACCTTTCATCATCATGTTACTCTCCTCTTGCTTTTTGAAAGTGCTGTATTGCGGTCTGTATTCAATTTATCTGTTCAGCTGAGGAAAAACATTGCAAGTGACAGATATTAATCTTATTATTAGAATTAGAAACTCAGAGGTGTTTAGGATCAGAGGAGCAGAGGAGCAGAGCTCCGGCCTAGGGAATTCTTCCCTAGGCCTGAGATGAATATTGACTAAGTTAGAGAACTAGAACTAGTATGAGGACTTAGTGTGAGATCTAGTGCAAGGACTAATATGATATTCAGACTGAGGAAATACAGGAGTATCTACAGGGGTTTTGATACTGGAGATAAGTCTGAGTGGATAAGTAAGCAGAGGGGTAAGGCTATGTACGAGCATGTGGAGATGTATTAGTAAGTGAGACAGATCATAGAGAAATGAACTTGGAGATGAAACTCATACAAGGATCAATAAGCAAAACAGAAACACAGATAACCGAAGACTGGAGACAGGTGATTACCATAAGGGGATGGGTGCTGATTTAAGGTTTGGCTTCAGATATGAAGCATAGGTCGGATCTGGAGATCCTAAGAAGTGGATATCAGATCAGGTGTCCAGATATCGGATCCAGACGTCTGGATATGCAAAGGTACAGGCATCTGGACAGATAAAAGACATGGACAAGGGGTCCAGAGGTCCAGATGAGGCGTGGGAACATTGTCAGATGTAGGTCTGGAATACAGGATATGACAGGTACTTCCAGCAGGATCATATATATACCACTATTGGATCTGTGTCATATCCACCAAGGTACAGACATCTTCCAGATCTGATGTAGAGACTAACATCTCTGTGGCCTCATAGAGGTCTAATTCTCCAATGTCCCAATCACCTCCCAAACACAGCACGACCTGTATCTCATTTCTGCGCACTTGCGCTTCGTCGGCCGCTCACGCGCACAGGCGTCTTGGTCGCGCATCGGCGCACGCACCTTCGGTTCCGTCACTCGTCCTCTGTTTATCCATTCCATGTCCGTTTGGTTCGTCGGTGCGTGTTCCTAATTTATTCTCATGTATTCTGACATATCTCCGGCGCTTGCGCACATATTCCGTATGTTTCGTCATGGACCCTTATTTTACATATCATCACGTACTTGCTTCGCTTTCTGGCTTGCTTTAGCGCTTGACAGCACTTAACGCTACTTACAATATATATACTCATGCCTCGATGTATAATGATTATCTTCTTTTTCCCACACAAAACATTGGACTCTAAGTCTAAAATCTCCGTCGTATCTGCCGACTGACACTAAAGTGCCAGAGCCGACATGAGCGCCAGTTCTCATATTCTGTATATAAAACATTGTCTTACCTGTCTCCCGACTCACTTAAGAGTCACTGCACTCCACCACCCATGCACACGCTTCGCTCACACTCAGCGTGCGCCATCGTACTTGTTGCTCAGTAGTGCTTCATAGCGCTTTCGCTCATCGCGCTTCACTCATCGTCGTGCGCCTCACCAGGCTTATCCGACAGCCCGGTTCAGTGTTTCCCTCCACTATTATATATAGAGGAACCTTCTCAGTAGCAATCCCCTTGGGCTGACATTAGATTCGTGCACAGAGGACCATCTGAGTATATTCATACTACCCATTTCATAACATTCTACATTCCTCACCTACACTGACCTATGCTTCATATCTGAAGCCAAACCTTAAATCAGCACCCATCCCCTTATGGTAATCACCTGTCTCCAGTCTTCGGTTATCTGTGTTTCTGTTTTGCTTATTGATCCTTGTATGAGTTTCATCTCCAAGTTCATTTCTCTATGATCTGTCTCACTTACTAATACATCTCCACATGCTCGTACATAGCCTTACCCCTCTGCTTACTTATCCACTCAGACTTATCTCCAGTATCAAAACCCCTGTAGATACTCCTGTATTTCCTCAGTCTGAATATCATATTAGTCCTTGCACTAGATCTCACACTAAGTCCTCATACTAGTTCTAGTTCTCTAACTTAGTCAATATTCATCTCAGGCCTAGGGAAGAATTCCCTAGGCCGGAGCTCTGCTCCTCTGCTCCTCTGATCCTAAACACCTCTGAGTTTCTAATTCTAATAATAAGATTAATATCTGTCACTTGCAATGTTTTTCCTCAGCTGAACAGATAAATTGAATACAGACCACTGTGTGTGAGGAATGATAGCTAGATGAGAAGGGGTGAAAGGGGGAGAAAGGATGAAGTGGGGTAAAACTCAAATAGACCTCTGGACACGAGTATAGATTCAGCCCAAGGGGATTGCTACTGAGAATGATTCCTCTAAGTAAAATATGGAGGGGAAACTTAGAAACTGGTAAGAGTAACTGAGAATGGAAGAGCACGTGACGTTGTGCTTGATGCGATGCAAGCGCGAGCGAGCCGCCAAAGGTGCAAAATGATGTGCGACAGAGCGGCCGAAAGTTTGACAGAGCACGAAGATGCAGAGAAAAGCCGATGGATATATGAGCGCGCCCTTAGGCAGATATGCAAAGGAGATGTGACGCGACAATAAGGAGGGAGGAGAGTTTCGACGATAGATGCGATGAGCGATGCGTGAATGTTAGTGCGACCGTTAATACAGCGCGCGATGTAGTTGACCGAAAGTTTTAGACTTAGAGTCTGAGTGTTGCGTGTAAACGGATGATAATTTTGATAATGGGAAAAAGAAGATACATGAAAAATCATAAGTCTAAGGTATATGATAGCGCGCATAGCGCTGTTCGGAACCAAGAAGATAGCGGTAATACATATTAAGGGTCCATAACACAAGTAATGAAACATACGCGATATCACCTTTGGGAATATAATCAGTCTAATGCGAATGAGATAAAATACACACCAATGGACAAGCGGAGGACATGGATAGGACAGAGGAAGGATGCGCGACAGAACCGACGAAAAGCGGATGCGAACCGAAGCGCGCGTGTGAGGCGTGGCCATTGGCTGATGATAGGAAGGATGCGCGCCATGGTAGTGATAGCGCGCGCTGCGCTAGGACCTGAGGGATGCTGCAAAAATAGCCTCTACGAGGCTACAAGGACTACAAGTCCTACATCACATACACACTTTAAATCCTGACTGTCCCCAGTCAGCCTCTATAGAGCGGAGGGACTTAGCGAAATTTCAGTGAGATAAGTCATGTGACCGTGTGCGTTTCATGCTGTATGTGGAGCACAATAGTGGACCACGGATATGTGGAGTGCCAACTGTGGGAACTGTGGCCAATTTTGATGTATTAAAACACGTCACGTGCCGCACTTCTCTTCTTCCCAACTTCTCATCGCAAACTTCGCAATTATCTTTTCATATCACACCACCATGTCTTCCACCATCTTCAATCCATCTATGCTGACTGCGTCTCCTTCTCCCTCTCCCTCACCTGAACCTGAGGAGCACCCACTAGAGGGTGGCAATGTGTCCATCGACAACACCACTCTTGATGATGCGGCTCCGAAGGAGCCTGAGGAGTCTGAGTCCAACCGGGTGGAACATGCTTGGGCCGCTGTAGAGATACAACAATTGCTGGACACTACACAAAGTAAGCAGCCAGCAATATGAAAAATGTTGTGGTCGTGCACAGCCTAGTCTACTTATACTTGCAAGACAAGTGCGTTTGACCCAAGGGGCTTGCTGTTGGTATTAGAATAATCAGTTATATCAAAAGGAAGATAGTCCGAAGTGCGGGAAACAAAGTCCGAAGGTATAATTACGAGTCTGATGTCAAAAACGTCGGGTCCGATGTCAAAAACGTCGGGTCCGATGTTTTCGGGTTTCGGGTTAGCGGGTTTTGTCGGGTTTGCATCGGGTTTGCGTCAGGTTAGCGTCGGGAATATAGTGAATGTCGGGGATAGCGAATGGTGGGTTACTGTCAGATGTTTCGGATAAAGAAAGGATGATATTGCGGAATCCAACTAAGAACTACGAATATCGGATGACCTCCTACTCAGAGGTAGAAAGGTAAAGTAATAGGTAGGAGGTATGCGAAATATAT